TTATTGACGAAGGAAATGAAAAAAACATTGTATACTGAAACATATGGTATATTTGGATTCCTTAGGGTGAGAAGGTTTCGAATCCATAAAAAACGGGTCACTTTCGGTTTTCACTTCCGGTCATCCGATTTCGATGATTTTGATATCAATGGATTCGTTTACATGTCATGAAACATAAGTAATAATTTTTCGAAGCCAAAAGAGCCTTATAACCTATTTTCATCATACTAGCCACAACAGACCGATGTGGGTACTCATTTCAAATGATTTCATTGGTAGATTATGAAAAGTATAATATACAGCGTGTAATGTGAAATAGCATAGGAATCAGGCATACTCAAAGAAAATCATTGAACGTACTTGAAATAAAAAGTCGTTGGGTTATGAACAACTACGAGTGTAATCCAATTGCAGAGGTTTGATTCAAAACGTAACGAAGGAAATGAAAAAAACATTGTATACTGAAACATATGGTATATTTGGATTCCTTAGGGTGAGAAGGTTTCGAATCCGTAAAAAACAGATCACTTTCGGTTTTCACTTCCGGTCATCCGATTTCGATGATTTTGACATCAATGGATTCGTTTAGATGTCAAAAAACATAGTTGATTATTTTACGAAGCCAAAAGGACCTCATAACCTATTTTCGCTATACTAGCCGCATAAGGTCGATGTGGGTACTCATGTCAAATGCTTTCATTTGCTGATTATGAAAATATGATATCGATCGTCTAATGTGGCATAACAAGGGGAGAATTGCAAATACAGAAAAAAAACATTGAAATAACTTGAAATTCAATGTTTTTAGGTTACCAACAACTAAGTGAAATTCAATGGTAGCAGTTTGAATCATAATCAAACCAAAAGGGGCCTTGAAGTTTGGAGTTTCACTATCACACTGTCAACACTAAACTGGCTAGGTTGGCGTGAAGTTGTCTGTAGTTGATGGTGGGGTGAAGACCAAAAGTAAATATTGAAGTATTTCAAGCCTGAAGTGAATGAGCAAAATGTCCGATAAAATACATGACTGCGATCGATCTGTCATTGATTATATAACACGTTCAAAAATACCAGTTCCTTATGTCATTGCATCTGTCAATTATTCGGTTCCTCAAGTCATTCACATCTAGTGCAGAAGTTTCATAAACAAGAGCCTTCAGATGACCCTATGAATAAAAAATCTAGAGGATTCATATCAGGACTGCGAGCTGGATAATTTTGAAGTCCTACATGTCCAACCGCAGCAACCCCATTTTCTCCAAAAAACCATATGATGTGTAATGTAACATTATGTTTCAGTTTGAAGAAATAGCCGTCCACAGTGGAACAATTGAAATTGAATTATTCAAAAAATGAACCTTTTCTGTAAAGAACCGAGATTTTTTCACTTAGGATGTTGGGAAAAATCAGTTTACTTTGGTTGAATCATAGTGATTCGTAACAGCGCCACCACGTGAAGGAGAAAACTTTTACCTCTGGACCATGTCGTTATCTGAACCCGAACTACATCTTTTTAAAAATGGTCTTCGTTCTTTAAAGTACGTAATTCGTGTCATATAATCAATGACAGATCGATCGCAGTCGTGTATTTTATCGGACATTTCGCTCATTCACTTCAGGCTTGAAATACTTCAATATTTATTTTTGGTCTTCACCCCACCATCAACTACAGACAACTTCACGCCAACCTAGCCAGTTTGGTGTTGACAGTGTGATAGTGAAACTCCAAACTTTAAGGTACCTTAAATCATACCTTTTGGTATGATTATGATTTAAACTGCTGCTATTGAATTTCACTCAGTTGTTGGTAACCTAACAACATTGGATTTCAAGTTTTTTCCTTCTCACCCTAAGGAATCCAAAAATATCAAATCATTCAGTATACGATGATATTTTAATTTTTTTGTCAACAAATTCTGCGTTCTAAATCAAACTTCTGCAATTGGATTACACTCGTAGTTGTTCATAACCCAACAACTTTTTATTTCAAGTATGTTCAATGATTTTCTTTGAGTATGCAATTATTCCTATGCTATTTCACATTTCACGCTGTATATTATACTTTTCAAATGAAATCATTTGAAATGAGTATCCACATCGGTCTGTTGTGGCTAGTATGATGAAAATAGGTTATAAGGCTCTTTTGGCTTCGAAAAATGATACTTATGTTTCATGACATGTGAACGAATCCATTGATATCAAAATCATCGAAATCTGATGATACAACTTAGTGCCCTTCTGACAGTTGTGCTATTATTTTTTGTAATAACTCATTAATTTCCTCAAATCATCACACACGCCACCACCTCCCACGCTGACTACGTCACTTTCAAAGTTTCAAAGTCACTTTCAAAGTTTTAATGTTTTATCACTATTATTATTATTATTCCATCTTCATTCTCCAGTTCAATTTCATTTAACACAAATAATCGAGCGATATTTGATTCCTTCATTCTAATTGGCTGACCGACACTACACTGTAATAGAAGTTAGGTTGAGTGTTCCACAAGGTTCCGTTCAAGAGTCTGAAAATTCGCAAAATGAATCTTCATACGATGAAGCATGGACTTTAGTCATTTCCTAATGATGCTCACTTGGTTAGTGGAACGCGTTAAGTGTTAAATAACTGTCATATTGAAACACGAAAAACCGTTACGACAATAACAATGAAACGATAACAAATAAACGCACGCAAACGATCGAAAAAGCACGGAAAATGATCGAAAACGCTCGCAAACGATCGAAAACGTACGGAAAACGGTCGAAAACGATCGCACGCAAAATGGTCGCACGTGAAACGGTCGAATACTTCGCTACCCCATTGCCCTCACGGTGAGTCCACAACCCGTAACCCCTCGACACCTTTAGTGCCACCTCCTCCTTCTCCTGATGATGCTAACTTGGTTAACAAAGAAACGAGACTTAGTGTCCTTCTGACATGTTGGAACGCTAGACTTCTGTTAAACCGACATGTTTATTTCTTAAATGATGTATTTTGAAACGACCTGTATACACATTGATATCATATTTTAAACCGACATGTTTTTTTTCCCTGAATGATATATTTTGACGCACCCTGTACACTTCGACGCCATATTTGTTTTCAATGATGTATTTTGAGAAACCTTGTACACAGTCGTATTCCTAACCCTTCATTTTCAAACCGGCAACGCTACATTACTCCATAAACAATGATTTATTGTACAACTGGCAACACCTGCTTGCGATAGCAAGCGGTAAAACCTCGATACCATCTCCATCTCTCTTTGCATCGATTACGTCACACGCGTCTCTCGCTCTTACACATCTTTACATGAAATGTTAATTATTTCTCAAATATAAGAATATTTTCCTATCTTCAATATGATAATGATGATTACAACTTCCCTGACATTCTATAAAAATCAAAACAATGCGTTCAAGTATATAAAATGAGTCAATTTCGGTCCCGATAAAACTAACGCTATAAATACCCAATATTCGCAGTTACTTCCAATATCATACGTTGGCGTAGAGGCTAAGGACGATGTCTACCGCGCGGACGATCCAGGTTTGAATCTCATAACTATACACTTTTTTAAATTAAAATCACCAAGGGGGCCGAGGGGCGGAGTTCCACGCTTGAATCGATACGATACTCATTCCATCCTGCGTCGATGACGTCACACATTTCCCTCACTCCTGTTTGAACTAAAAATTGCAGAAAGTGTAGCTCCATAAGAAAATACATGGGATTTTGAGCTCGTGGCTCTTTTGTTCATCTACTGATTTGAATTTCCTGCTGTATGCGCGATAGCTGATTGGTTGACTGAATGACGGTAAAAGTGGAGGTGGTCTGAAGTGGGCTTTGAAGGCTAAAGCTGAGTTTACAGATAATGGACGTCTGGCAGAGACAAGGCGCTGACCTTTGCCCCTTCCGTGTGAAGTGGGCCTGAGGTCCAAAAAACGCCAGAATGGACAATGAAACGATAACGAATAAACGCACGCAAACGATCGAAAACGTGCGGAAAACGGTCGAAAACGATCGCACGCAAAATGGTCGCACGTAAAATGGTCGAATACTTCGCTTCGTTTACCGCGCGGACGATCCAGGTTTGAATCTCATAACTATACACTTTTTTTAATTAAATTCACCAAGGGGGTCGAGGGGCGGAGTTTCACGCTTGAATCGCTACGATACTCATTCCATCCTGCGTCGTTGACGTCACACATTTCCCCCACTCCTGTTTGAACTAAAAATTGCAGAAAGTGTAGCTCCATAAGAAAATACATGGGATTTTGAGCTCGTGGCTCTTTGTTCATCTACTGATTTGAATTTCCCGCTGTATGCGCGATAGCTGATTGGTTGACTGAATGACGGTAAAAGTGGAGGTGGTCTGAAGTGGGCTTTGAAGGCTAAAGCTAAGTTTACAGATAACGGACGTCTGGCAGAGACAAGGCGCTGACCTTTGCCCCTTCCGTGTGAAGTGGGCCTGAGGTCCAAAAAACGCCAGAATGGACCTGCTCAAATCTGCACGTGTTTTTCCATAAGGAATGGCTTAGAACTCTTGCAGCTATATATTACTTATAATATCCATTACCCCTCCTTCACTCACAAGTTTCGGCCGAAAACAAACACTTTTTCACTCACCAGACCTGCAATACTCTTCTCGACGCGCGTTTTACCAACCAAATTGGCATCTTCAGGAGATTTGTTTCAAATCAGGAGTTCCAGTTTTACCTTTCATTTGGGGTTGTTCTACTAAAAAGCTACAAAATTGGTTTCAGTCGCAGACGGCTGCAACATTATAATAACATAGGAACAAATCCTAGGTAGTTCCTAGGTAGTTGCTTCCTTCCTTTCTTTGGAATATTCTCACATTTCTTTGTATCAAGATAGAGAGCAAGAGAGCCAATACCTTGTTTTTAAAGTGTTGCGTCTTTTATAAATGATTTTACTTTATTGAAGTAATTTAATACAAAGAAAATTTTCATTTCTAACAAATCTTTTGAATTTTTAGTTCCCTTCTACCAATTTATCTCTTCCTGTTATGTATTATATATATGGAGGAGGATTTTTAAATGGTGCTGCTAATTTTGAAGTCGCCGGTCCCCATTATTTGTTGGAGAGTGGAGTCATTGTTGTAACGGTAAATTACCGAGTAGGTCCTTTCGGTGAGTATTTTTCACAAATAAAACTAATAGTCGAAGACATGATCATACATAAATATAAAAATGTATGAAAAGCACTTTATGGTCGGACTTCCACATAAAAGTTTACAGAACCGCAACACATGTTTCACTATAGGTAAATGTACAGTGTTTCACAAAAACCATAACACGTGTATAATAGCTTCCTCATCCTCGTTTGAAGAAGCTATTATATAGCGAAAGACGTGTCGTGGTTTTTTTATAAACCTTATAGTGAAAATCGTGCAGTAAATTTCATCAGTTATTGTTAATATATATTTTTATCAAGTGTCGGCCAGTTTTATTGGTAGCACCCTCTCGTCGCCTCTTGGCGACAAAGGAGGATTTAGTAATACCTAGTCTGATGATTATTTCTATTCTCGATCCAACGTTTTTCATTATTTATGAAAATTGGATTAGGGGTTTCTGAATAATTAGCGGTTGAATATTCGTTTTAAAAATCTGCAAATGAAAGATATTTAATATCCAATATAATTTCACGAAAAAATGTATTCAAAATTTCAGTTGATTGACTTTCTGACAATTTGTTCTCAAATTTATTTGTCACAATATGGAATCTTTCTGGGATTATGTCTAATGATGTTGTTCACATTGAATGAGTGGGGCAAGTTTGCTGAACAGAAAAGGATCGCCTAAATATGACTTCACAATCAGAATAACACCTACCACCTACATGTCTTGCCTTTGGAATATTTCGATAAAAATTCATATTTGTATCTTATTGCCACCAATGAGAAAAGTTGGATCTACCACTTTCGAAAGGTATAATATTAACTATCATCCTAAGGCTTTTCTTTATGCATATTTTAATCAAACTTCATAATATCATCTCTCATGCCATAATTTCTTCCTTTTGGGGAATAATTTGTTACTATGATTTTGGCGTGAATTTTTTTTCAATTCCATTTCACTCACATTTTCAATAAACGTCATATTTGAAAATTTTCTTAGCAAAAATGAATGAAACAAGCTTTCCAACCCATGTTTCAAACCCAACCCCCGTGTGATAACGTATCAAGAGAGATGAAATAATGAAGTTTGATAAAACTATTTCGATTGGAAGGCTTTACCAAATATAAGGAAGAATCACTAGAGTAAACTACCCTTCGAAATGGGTATATTCAACTTTTTTCATCCTTGGCAATAATAACATAAGGAAGAAGATACAAATCTGAAGTTTCATTAAAATATTTCGGGAAGGTCTTGGTCAGCAGATTATTTTGAACAATCATTAGAGTAAACTACCCCCTCATAAGAGTGGATTGTATTCTTATGTATGGTGGCATTGATATCATGTAAAATTCATGCAAGTTTTCGAATATGAGCGTGTTATTGAGATTATAAATGTCTTATTTGGGTAGTCTTTTTCTGGTTAGCAAAGTATTTTTGCTCCATAGCAGTTGACAATATAGATATTTAGGCCCTGTATTGAGTATCGCTCAAACCGCATGGCATTCAAGTTTTGAGTAAGGTTGTTTTGCTTCCTCCTTTTGGCAAAAGAAGATATATTATGAATAGAGAGAAATTCAAAAGTAAACTGGTATGAAAAGTTTACCAGACTTGATTTAGGACTGACTATGGTTTCGTGGAGTGCCTGTTTGTTTGAAGAAGGTGATGCACCGAATCAATACTAGAGCTAATTCTTCTAACGTTGCAGAAATTGATTTAAAAATTGCTACTAGACCTGTTAGCAACATCAGTAACTATGTTAAAATCAAAACAAAGCATTCTTGATTCAAAAGATAGCGCTGTTTCGATCCATCATAAGTCTCATCAGTGACGCTATGCTGAGGCACGAGTACAACGCTGGCCTCAAAACTGTCCTTATAGAACAAGACTGAGTAAGTCGATGTCACAACTTATTCCTCACGAAAACAAATGATGTTTCGACCTCCACACGCGATCACTTGTTTGTCTCTCATTGCAAGTATATTAGTTGAAACCAGTGCCAAAAAAAAACATTTTGATCTAACACCAGACAGCACTCTATCGAACTGCCATCGGTCTTAGCAATGGTGCTAGGCTAAAAAAACCAATGCATTGCTGGACTCAAATGTTCTTAAAGAACAAGCCCCGATTGGATAAGATGACAATTAGATCCCTTGCAAGACATATTCCTGTAGAATCGACAGAAAAACGCAGTCCCTGAATATGAAAGACAAATGAGGCACCCCAAGGCGGTTCGTGGCAAAGCCAAGCTTTGATTGCCATTGACAATCACTTACGAAAAAATATTTTACAGGTTTCCTGACAACTGGAGACAAAATAATACCTGGCAACTACGGTTTGAAAGATCAACAGATGGGACTCAAGTGGGTGCAGAAAAATATTAAATATTTTGGTGGCGATCCAAAAAAAGTAACCATAATAGGCATAAGTGCAGGAGCATCGTGTGTAGGTTTTCAAATGATGAGTAAAGGTTCCAAAGGTAAGAGCGAGTTTCATTTTTCAGACATTGTTATCATGTTTGTGTACTTGAATAGAAACAAGAAAATAATGATCAACAGCAAGGTAGAACATTGAAGGATTTGGTGGCTACCCAGCAAACATTTTTCGGTGACAAACTGTTGGCCTAGTGGAATCTTTATATTCTGAGAAACATCAGACCTACAGTTGGGAAAAATAAATAATGCACAACAAAGCACTCGATAAAACACATACTTTTATATAAGTTTATTGTTGATTTTTACTGTCAAGGGTTTCACAAAAACCGCCACGTGTGTTTCGCTATACAATAATTTTTTCATGCATACAATAATTACTTCATGCTCATGTTTTTTTTCTGATTGATTCGGCCGTTACTTGAGGAAGATCCATAGTAATTTCAAAAAAGTTTGTGGAGATCAAATCGGCAGGTGAAGTTTTTGAAATTTACGCTAATGATTGAAAAGGCTATTTTATAGCGAAACACATGTCGCGGTTTTCGTAAAATCCTTCATAGTGAAAATTATACAATAAACGGTATTATAGAGTTTTAATATTGGATTTTCATCAAGTATCGGCCAGTTCTATCCGTTTATGAAACTTACTTGCTGAAATATTTCAACTGAATTTCTGAAGTATTTCTTGAGCAAGTTGAATGAATGGAAATGACAATGTGAGTTGAGTCGAAATGGATATATCGTGTGGCGAAAATTCAATTGCCCACTAGTGTTTTCTTGATAACCGTAGATGAAACGATATTAATGAGTTTTCATATTGGATTTTCATCAAGTATCGGCCAGTTCTATCCGTTTATGAAACTTACTTGCTGAAATATTTCAACTGAATTTCTGAAGTATTTTTTGAGCAAGTTGAATGAATGGAAATGACAATGTGAGTTGAGTCGAAATTTATATACCGTGTGGCGAAAATTCAATTGCCCACTAGTGTTTTCTTGATAACCGTAGAAGAAATGATTTTGGTTGAATTAGAAAAAAATGTAATTTTCAGGATACAATGAAATTATGTTGAGAAATCGAAAATATCGTGAGCCGTTCTCGAAATAATGAAAACATTGATATCTTTGATTTTTTTTCTGCTATATTATCTTTGTTACACAAAATATGAGCAAAAAATATAGAAGTTTTTGATCGAACTTCTTCAAAGCAACACTGCTCTAAATTAATTTCCCATACGCGATGTTTCGTTTACTTTTCAAATACGGACCTGTATTTCCTAAAGTGAAGTCATGTCTTTTTCAATCCTTCATTCATCAATCTAGGTATAGCAATTTTCCCAATATCCCTTTCAACTGAAAATGTTTAATAGTTATCAAAAGTATTAAAAGATGATGTTTGCAAAGTAGCGTGTTGAAACTATTTCTATTAGTTTTAAAAGTATTTTTAACACAATTTTTTTCAACCAAATAGCAATAAACAGAACATAATTATTGAATGCTCTAGGAAGTTTTATTATGAACAATACATACAGGGTGTAACTGAATAAGTGTAAAACATTTAAGTAGGTAATTTCTCATCGAAAAAAGGATAGGATCTTTCATATAAAGAAACTTCATTGTTAAGATACAGCCCCTTGAAGGGGTACATAAAATTTGTATAACAATTTTTTTCACAAGCACTAAAAAAGTTACAATATTGAAATTGACCTGACGTTTTGTACTGCCAGAAAACAATTAGCCAGTAATTTATTTGGTTTACCCCATGGTTGTAAGGGGTGGAAAACGCAACCCCTAAAATTCATTTCCAATGTAACTTTTTGTCTTATTATTTGTTTACCATTTAAAAATGTTTTTCCGATAGCCTGTTTCATTGTGAACAAAAATGTCTCTTGGGTTTTTTGCCCAAAATAAACCAGTTCGCAGCAAAAAATTATTTTA